GAAGACGACGACGATGACGACGAGGGCCTGAAAGCCTGAGACGAAGATGACGACGAGGGCCTGTGACGAAGATGACGGCGAGGACCTGAAACGAAGACGGAGATGAGGTTAGAATCTGGGATGCATCTCTTTAATTTTTAGGGTTTTGTTGAATTTGAAGTCAATCACAGCCTTGATTTTTTTTTAAATAAATCCTAGCCATTAATCAAATAACGCAGGCTAACAACGCTACGCAAAAACGCCACAAAACGTACGCTATGCCAGAAATAGCGTACGTTATTTGTGATCTGCGCTATTTCACAACGTTACCTCGCGTTTATCCACCGCCACGTTACGTTAAACGCTATTTTACGTCTCTTAACGCGTTTTTTTCAACATTGCTTTGGACATTCCTGCATATTGATAAACAAAGTTAACTATAGTCACATAAAGAAAAATGTATGCCTGTTCTTACATTGTGTTTGGGAGTTCACTAGGGGAAGGAAAGGAAAGGTAAAATAGGGAAAAGTAAGATAAGGAAGGGGAGGGCAAACATAACATCTTGTTTGGAAGTCCAGTGAAGGGAAATGAAGGGGAACTTAGTTCATGATTTGTTTGGAAGTTCTAACTAAGAGAAGATAAGGGGGAAAAATAGTTTCATAATCAGATCTGAGCCATTGATCCATAGTGATAGAGAGTCAAATATTAGATATTTTAAGTTCTACTTTTCTTACACTCCTTTATGCCCAATTTGGAGGGGAATAAAACCATGACTTTTAATGAAAATTTTACTTCCTCTGCCCTCTGTTACCTTCCTTAAAAAACTCCGTTGTTTTTTTTTCCTTCCCTTACCTTTGGCTACCCCTCATCCAAACACACTCTTAATGAGCATAAAGTCACGACTTATTTCAAGATGAGGGTTGTAATCAAGATGGTCTTGAAAGATATTGTTTTTCATAAAAATGAGTTTGGTATGTACTGCCCTTTACATAAAAGCTTTGGAGATATATTGTAATGGATAATAATAATAATAATATTTATATCAATAATAAGATTCAGACACTTGAAAGAACCTTTCACAAATATAATCATTTATTCGTTTATGTAAAAGGATTACTGACTGTTAATGTCATGGAAGAATTGACTAACCTTTCTAACAAGGTTTTAAATATCGGATATCAGGGAAATATCGGATGACCAAAATTCATATCGGATTGCAGATATCGGGGAAATATCGGGGATATATGGTAAATATCGGAATGCCATAATGAATGTTTGCATACATAGTATAATGCATTAAAATGTAATCTCAACATATGTAATGAAATTTAAGCATACAAAATATGAATAATATATGTTTAGGATCACTAATCAACCTTCTAAAACAAACAAAAGTGCAAAACAACGTTGCAACATTCGATCACTAATCAACCTTCTAAAACAAACAAAAGTGCAAAACAACGTTGCAACATTCGATCTGCTTTTTTGAGGGCAAAATGTCATTTGATATAATGGGGAAATCTTGATATCTCGCCCAAATATTCCAAACACGGCATATTATTTTGCAACAAGCTATATAAAAAGATATATTAGTCCACATATCGGCTAATATATCGGTCATATTGGGGATTTATCACTCAAAATAGCCAAAAAGCGGTAAAGGATATTTAAAGACCATATCGGTTGCGGCAAGCCCTGTAAAAGGATATATTGGAGGATATATCGGGCCATGTCGGGGATATTTAAAACAATGCTTTCTAACCTAAAGAGAATTTCATATAATCTCCATATTTTTAGCTTGCAATCAGATAAGTGATAAAAGTGCAGGAACTTATGAAGTGGGTTAACTTATCACTGTTACATTTTTCCGGGAGGCGAGAGAAGACAACATGTTCTGCTCATTGAAGCCTCATAGTTACTAATGTAGCCGTTGCATCTCATCTAGGGGTACCAAAACATGTTCATATTCGCACATATATCTGTATCCATTAGGATACACATATGGTTAGGAAACCTATAACCGATAGGATATAGTACAGATGTGGTTATGTAGTGAAATATTCAGATGCATATTCAAAATATTCGAATATATGTCGATCATACAGTTATAATTGTTTTAATCCTTAGATTAATGGATTTGAGAGATATAATCATAAATTTTCAGATATAAACAAACATATAATTAACGTGCTCTCTTGTATCTTATTAACTATATATTTTTTGCTCTCTTGTATCTTATTAACTATATTTTTAAGATATTATTTTCTCATATCCATTTTGTATTTGCATGCATATTCGCATATATACGCATGCATATATGTATCTGCATTCGGTTGTAGCAGATATTAATATGTTCTTTCTTTATCGAGACATTCTATCTGTATACCTAATTGGTAAGCAAATATGAATATTGTAAGTATCATATGTGAGCTGAATTCGATCTGCTAATAGCCTAATCCTACCTGTAAAAGTTCAACACAATAGTCATTAAGATTCAAAATTAAATTGAAGAGACTTTTCAACCGAAATCTAGCTTACCAAAGTGATGAAAGCCTAGAGCGTTCGCGGATTTAGATGAGAGGGGGAGCACGTAGCATTGGGACAACCTGAAATCTTTGAGATTCGATATGGAGGTGGAGATGGAAGATGTTAGTTTTGTTTCTGGGATTGGGAATGGTTTAGGATTTCGGAGTTTCTTTGAGAGTTGAAATGGTTTTGCTTTGGGAGTTTCTCAGAGATTAGGCATGCAGAGGAAATGGTTGGTTTAACTTTTGTGATATTCAGAATTTGATTTTGGGTATTTTGGAATTTCCTGTTATTTTGGAGATCTATAAAATTGGATTTTCTGGTTATTTTGAAAATTTGCAAACTTTCCCTAACATTAGCGTTAAATTATTGTAATCTCTAGACGTGTATTGGAATTCCTTGAAGTGTGACACTCTTAGGGGTATAACAACGAAAAATTGGACCAAAAGGCAAGTTTTCTTTGAAGTTTAAGTAGCAGCAATAGATATATACCCTAAGATGTCGATCATTGAGATACAGCACATCTTCATCCCAAAAGGCAAGTTTAAGTATTTTGGTGATTGTGTAGATGCTAGCTTAGTTATCTAGTTCTATTGCTGAGTTGTTACTTTGGTGATTGTCTTGATGCTTGCTTAATTATTCCAGTTTTATCCCAATCATTGAGATACAGCACATCTTCATCTTTCAGTCTCTTATAAGTTATAACTGGACATATGTCCTCTTAGATGTCGATCTTAAGATCTTGCTTGTCCTGCCTATAAAATCTGGATCTATTTCTAAGCTAGTAAAATGGAAATCTATGGGGTGTACAGACTGGCACACATTGAGAAGTTTTATGTGCTAAATCTTAAATGTGTCCATAATTCTAGAGAACAGTTGCAAATCAAATGTAAAATGGTGCTGAGCAAGATACATACTGGAATACTGAAATAGTCATCCGGGACCTGGTCCTTTAGTTCTACCTCAATTCCACCCAAAGAACCAGTAACAATGCAGGTTCCTGATGTATTTTTGGATAGGGATATAATTAGGGGTGCAAACATATGAACACCAGATCATGTATGGGATCACTGGGAAGTAGCATTTTGTATCTCATTAATAATCACAAATGAATATGAATATGGGTATGTGTATGAGTATGGATATGCTTTGGTAAGGGAAGCTTATATCTTTGTTCATCATCACTTGAAACACATATAGATGTCATTTGAATATAAGCATGAAAAGGATATGGTGCAGATTGCTCAATTTTGCAACTATTTTGTATTCATAGGTGAAAATTAGTAACGCAGAGTTTTGATCCAGATTGCTTATTTGAACATAAGCATGAAATGCATGTGATCCAGATTGCTCGTTCTTGCAACTTTTATATTCATAGATGAATATGTTTTATATAAATTTTTGATCCAGATTGCTCATTTATGTAATATCATATTTTAGTATGGTTCCTGAACATTCTTCTTTCTAGTGGTTAATTTCATGAATTTTCTCTTCTTTAGCTTATTGTTTTCTGTTGTTCACAAAAGATTCAATTCAACGGGCTTGCAGGATTTTTGTTTTTGTTGATTGAGAAAAGTCTCTTGATAGAATAGTGTTTCCACAACCTCTTCGAGAAGCTTGGAACTGGAAAAAATAAAAATAAAAAGAGCCTATTTGTATTATTATCAAAACAGGAGTAATATGCTTAGCGGCTGATAAGCCTCTCATCCCTGTCCAACGCAAAAAAAAAAAAAAAAAAAAAAAAGCAC